AAATCGTAAATAATACAATCCCAAAACATTTCATAGAATACTCTAGAACTTTATTTTGCTTAGTCAGCATATTTTTTGAACCAATAGAATTTGCTTTTTTTGCAAATTTGGCGGGTTTTTAGTGTTTGCGAATATTCTTTTTATACTTCCGCAAGATGTTTTAAGAACATTCAAGTTAATTATGTTTCCATGTATTTCTGTAAAATAAAAATTAATATAGATTAATTTTTTAATTTTTCACCTCAATACCAAAAATTTTTTTGAAAATCAGAGAAAAATGCATTAATAATTTTTTTTTAATATTTACAAAGTAAATTAATAAAAGTGCATTATTATTTAGGTTAAAAATTATTTTATCTAATATTTTGAAAGAAAAACTTAACAAAAGAAATCAAAATACACGTGGTCTAGACGATTATTTAAAAAAAGTTGCGCAAATAAAATACTATTATGTTTTTAATTTTTTTACTAACACAGGGTTCCCACTATTAAAACTAAGGCTAAAATTAAGGATTTTAAGGAGATATTTTCCTAATATTGAAAGAGATTTGGTCACGAATGACATTTTTTTGAAAGAAAAAGTAAGGATAATTAAGAAAACGATTACATTAAAAACATAATCTTATTTTTTCAATAAATTTTAAATATAAACAGAGAAATTATTATTACTTTATATATACATATATATATATATATACATATATATATATATATATATATATATATATATATATATATATATATATATATATATATATATATATATATATATATATATATATATATATATATATTAATATATGTATAATAACAAAAATAGGTTTGAAAACTATCAAAAATCTATATATTATCTTCTTTATTAACAAGTATAATCCATTCACTTTAAAAAATTTTTCTAGATGATTAAAAAAAAAAAAAAAAAGGAGAAATTAAGGAGAGGAGTCAAATTTTAAAATTTATTAAAGTTATTTAAGGACATTTAAGGAGGTTTTTATTTTTTAAGGATTTTTAAGGTTTTTAAGGAGGTGTGGGAACCCTGAAACACATTTTAGATCTTTAAAGTATAATAAAAATGAATATGATTTGGAAATTGTATATAAAAAATAACAATCGGTGTTTTAAACAAACAAAAAAATCTATGACGTCATGCACTAACTCCTATGAATTAAATGCGCTTGAATAAATTATCAAGTCTGTATAATGCGCTTGGAAAATCGCGTTTATTTTACATACTCAAAATACCGCAGAAAATGAAGAAGTCGAGCTTCGACTAAAATAACAAGATTTGTTTTTCTTGGTATACATTAATTAATTAGTTTTAATCAAAAAAAATTTGCTCAGACAATTTTTTTCAACATTCTCTTTAATATGAACACAACATGTCTCGGGACTTGGTAGTCCCTTTAAATGGGTATGTAATAAAACATTTCACAACACCATTTAAATGGCAAGCTATGGTAGTTGCACATGGCAATATTTTATTTACATCTGCCTTTCCATAATTTGCCCTAACAGCAATCAACTTTTTTGAAAAATTTTCAAAACCCTCACCTTTAACAACAACAAAAAAAGGTCTTCTCACCAGGGGTGTGGAGTCATAAAAAAAAAGTAACGACTCTGACTCCAGTTGTTGAAATTTTTTGAGTACAACTCCGACTCCAGTTGTTGAAATATTTTGAGCACAACTCTAACTCCGACTCCGGCTCAAACTCCAAAGCAACATTTTTGAAAAATTCTTTGAATTCTTGAAAAAATATTACGCGATAATTTAAAAATTTCTTTTTTGATAAATTTAAGAAACGTTCTTTAAGGTTTAGCATGAACATAAGGTTAATTGAATGTTTTGTACATACACATGTAATACTGGGAAATTTTACTATTGGAGTCATAGTCACGATTTTGTTTAGCGATTCCGATTCCACTAAAAATGTTGCAACTCCAACTCCACAGCCCTGCTTCACTCATGGATATAATAGCATCAGCAGTTTCTGATATAACTGATGCCAAAACTTTTTTTTGAACCAGTTGATGAAGATGAAGCCTCTAATAAAGTAGTTATTGTAACTGATGAGGTTCTATTTAAGGTTAATATACATTTAAGACTATATATACAGCCATATTTTATATAACTGTATATATATAATCTTAAATGTAATATTAAATATTATTTAAGATTATATGTACAACTAAAATACATAATTTAAGATTAAAAATATAGCCTTATTATATTGACATTTTAAAAATGTCAACATAATATGGCTGAATTACTCAATATGGCTAAAAGCTGAATCACAAAGACTGTGATAAAAAAGCAGCACTTAACAGTTTACTGTTGTATTATTGTATGTTTGTGTAAATGTTGTGCTGTATGTATATAACATTTACTGTTATGTTATAATGAAATGAGATAGGCAAAGTTTTGGTGAGAATAAATAAAAATTTGAACTATATTTCAATTAATTATTGTAAAAATTAATTACATACTTGCAGATATGTTTCTATGTGTTGAATTAGGTTTGGAATCATCCTAGTAGTTTCCTGCAACAACTAAAAGTTTTTCCGTTGTTGTTTCACGCTGTTGTTTTTCTGTTATGGAAAAACAACATAGCGTGATGGTCGTAACGACCATCACGCTATGTTGCTTTTCCATAACGGCTTCTTAACATCTAGATAAAAAGTTTCAGCCGAATGATTTTATTATTAAAACCAAGTTAAAAATCATTTGCAGTTTGTTTACTCATAATATTGCTAAGCTTGTTAAAGTTATTTAGAATAATTTAAAATTAGAAATTATTTCTTGTTTAAAATATAAATCACTTATTTAAAATAATTGATGTAAATAAGTTAATATTTGTTGAGAAATAAAAACTTTTAACATAAAGAATTTTTTTTTGTTGTTGAAACGTTTTTTATAGTTTACATAGCAACGTTTTTGTTTATTCTATTTCGCGGTTTTTTTAATTATAAATTTCGTGGTTTTTTATTTTAAATTATAACTGAATGTTAATCTCTAAAGTTATATTTAATAACATTTTTTAAATGCCTAAATTAGATGCTGAAAGATCAAAAGCTTATAGAGCAAGAAACAGAAAAGCGTTGTTGAAAAAAAAAAAGAAAGTTATTAAAGAACACAAAAGAAATGAAAACAAGCTAAAAAATCAAGTGAAAGTTGGCAATCAAAGCTTGAAAACAAATTTGCAATCAATATTTTTACTTTGAAAGAATTATTTTATAAACTTATGTTGGGAACAGGGAGCATTAACCATTTAAACTTTAGTTAAGTATTAAAGTATGAATAAGTATAGCAGCCTTTAGTTACCAATTTTAAATTTAAAGAACCCAGTATCAAAAAACCATAATTGAGAACTTTGATAATGTTATTAAGTTTATACTTTTACATAGTTGAGATGGTTTTTTGTAAATAAGTTTATACTTTTGGATGGTTTTTTGTAAATAAGTTTATACTTATACATAGTTGAGATGATTATTTATCTTTTTTTTTGATTGCATTGTTTTATTTATTATTTTTCAAAATTAGATTTTTCGTCACGACAAAAAAAACATAGAAATGCTTATAAAGCATTAAGTAAAAACTATGAAACTCACCATATAATAACATCAATATGTGCTAAATACACACACTAAATAATTTTTTTTTTACCATGCCGTTTGCTGCAATTAATTTGACAAAGCTGTTTTGTTCAGAAGTGGTAAAAAGTAAACTTTTTACCACTTCTCATTTCATGTTTTTCACAAATAAAAATACTTGTTTCTTCCACACTTTTGTTTTCTTTCTACATTTTAAAATTTAAATTTCTACACTATTTTATCTAAAACAAATATTAATGCATTAAGATTAAGTTAGGCTTGTTGTAAAGGTTTTCAAAAATTTCTTGAAGTTATTCAATTTCTTGAATTTTTTAGGAGAACAGGGAATATCTTTTTCCGGATATTTCCGGAATTTCGGATATTTTTTCCAAAATATAGTTTTTCCGGATATCCAAAATGTTTTCTCATACATTCAAGTTTATATAATATTTGTTTTAATGTATATACACTTTTCGTTTTCAGTGATCAGCCATAAAAAAAATGTCAAAAATGTCTATAAAAATTCTGAAACCTACCAGCTGAGAGCAAAATTAGGAGATTAGTAAGGGAAAATATGTTCTGGATTTTTCCGAATATTTTACATAAACTATACTTTCCGGATTTTTAAAAAATGACCTGGATGATCACTGGGAGAAAAATCTTTTTGTTATACAAAAATAATTAAAAACTTGATGATTTCAAATTTATGGTAACGATTTAATGATAGGCCAATATATCCTGTGATGTGTATCTATACTATATATATGTATATTTATATTGCTGTAATGTATATATAGTATATGACGAATTTTTAATACTGTTTTTGTAAAATTCTAGTGTATTTATGTGCTAACATTTGTATGAAGCTTTGTAACAGAACTTTGTAACAGCTTGCTTTAAAGATAAAAGTTAAAAACTTAAATTAAAAAAACTAGTATGTAACTATATAGTAACTGTATAAAACTAGTATAAGTGGATTCACAACTATGCAAAAATGTTATACAGGCAAAGGTGTTGCATGGTTACAAGTACAAATACAAGTAATAATGCATGGTTGTCCCTCAACCTGGAAAACTTAATATTTATTTTATATACAGAGATCTAAAAATAAAAATGTATTAATATATAATTTATTTCTTGCAAATCATTATCTAAAAGTCTTTTATAGACCTTAAATGATTTGGTTTTCTCCTATTTAATATACATATAAATGTATTTCATATATTAATATCTTAATTGTAAGGTAATTGTAATTCATCCAAGAAAAATACTCATCTATAAAATTGATGGATACTGGAATTATGATATGTAAAAAAGCCTAATATATAATATAAAAAAACTTAAAATAAGTTTAATATCTTATATGATGATAATTTAATTTTTTTGGTAATTTTAAGTTTTTTTTTTTTTAGTTTTATAAAGATATTCTTGACGTAGGAGAGCTGGCAAAGTTAGGTAATACATATGTGCATCCATACATATATGCATTAGGGTGGCTCTTAAAGCAACATTTTTTGAAAATGCCTACTGACACCCCCTAAATGTGTTCTATTTAACAAAATAATCCTGGTTTTGAAAATTTTTTGAATAAAAAATATTTTTAATGGTGCCACAAGACCCATAAGCATCAAACAGGGCCCTAATATTATCAAAAAAAAGTTTTTTTTAAAAGTATGTCTTATTGGGTCTCAAAATTATACAAAAGCATAAATAATTTTCATTTTAATTCTAATTTTTTTTTTTTAATGTGTTTTTATAAAATAATACTTATTTTCAAAAGTTTTATATAATTTTGCTTCTTTTGAGACCCAATATGACATACTTTTGAAACACTTTTTTTTGATATTAGGGACCTGTTTGATGTTTAAGGGTCTTGTGGCACGCCTAAAAATATTTTTTATTCAAAAAATTTTTAAACCCAGTATTATTTTATTATATAGAACACATTTAGGGTGTGTCAGCAGACATTTTCAAAAAAGTTGTTTTTAACACCACCCTAATATGCATACATACATACACAAAATTTATATGTAAATGTGTTTATACATAAATGTATATAAACATTTATATACATATATATTCGTACTTACTTACCTACATAAATAAATTTCAGTTGACCCCTTGGCATTTTGATTTTAGTTCATCATTTTAAAGTTATATTCTATCAGTTGTTCATTGCTTAATTTTTTTAATAGCTATATTATATCAGTTCATTGTTTTTATTTTATTTTAAAGTTATATTCTATTAATTCATTGGTGCATTTTTATTCCTTTTTTAGCATACTATAATGACATAGTTGTTGGAGCAGTGTGCTGTAGAGTTGATAAATCTGATAATTCAAGAAGGTTGTATATCATGACCCTTGGATGTTTGGCACCTTATAGAAGACTAGGCATTGGTATTTTTTATACTTATATGCATTCTTATTTTTATAAGTTTATAGAAACGTACACACAAACTTAGTTTTTATAAGTTTATAGAAAATATTACACAAATTAAAAAAATATTAAATTACAAAAAGTTTATAGAAAAGTTAGTTTTTAAATGTGCTGTTTTAATTATTTGTCGTTTAAATAAAACATAATTAAAAAACTGAAATAAAGCGAGCATAAAAAAGTTTATTGTTCTAATTTTATAAAGTTTTTAAAATATTTTTGTTCATTTCATTTTTGCTAAAAGTATAATTATTTTATTTAGGAAATTATTAAAAAATAAAAAATTAATGTAACAATCAAAATATTAAAAAACAACAAATGTTACAAATGGGTAGCTGAATAAGTGCATATTTCATATGAGCTGATCTGCGTATATATGAAGCATAATTTTATCAAGTGTGAATCTGCAAACTAGTACAAGTCTACATAAGTGTGGAGACTGACACAGGTGTTACAATTGTGTTACAAGTGTTACACGTCACACTTATGCAGCTTTGCACTTGTGCTTTAAGTGCAAGTTTATATAAAACCGCTTTTTTACAAAGCTGTTGTAAATTTTTTACAACTGCTTGTAAAAATATTCTTTATATTCTTCATACATACCCAACATAAAATGTTTTTTAAAAATTTCATTTCTATGAAAATAAGAGAGTAGAATTGTTTGTAAATATTTTACAAACTAGTATGTAACTATAGTAACTGTTATACAGGTAAATCATTTTTTACTATTACTTCATGTATTCTTATCATTTAAATGAGTAATATTTTGAAATTGAACTCAGTTAAACTTATTTTGTAATATTTTAAACTCAGATTAACTTACTCAAAAACCATTAATTACTACGTGAAAAAATCTTCTTAATACTTTAGCTCTAATGTGTACTTAAAGTGATAATTATAATACAAAAGTCAAAGTGTTTAAAGTATGCACATTTTAAATTTTTTAGACTTTCTATATTCTACGAATATTTACAACTAATAAATAACTTTTGTTTTAGGAACAAAAATGTTGGAGCATGTATTAAAGATTTGCGAAGATGATGGCAAATTTGATAGTGTATATTTGTAAGTTAAAAAAGAAATGTTATTTTGATTATCAAGAATTTTAAATTTTAAATAAAGAGTACAGCAACATAATGATACTAAAATATATTCTTCGAAATTAGATTTAGTAGTGTCACATTATGGAAATCAACATCTTATCTTACAAAAAAATTGAATTTTAATAATTAACAAAAAATATTACTACTTAATATATAATTACTTGTTTTTGCAATATTTGATGCATGTAATCTGTGTTGCTTAAACTGACCAATGAAAGCAAAAAATTATGTAATAACTTAAAAAAAAGTATATAGTATAATTAAGAAAAACATTGAAAATCGAATAGATGTTCAGATTAAACACAGATTAATTTTAAAATAAGAAAAAATTATGCAAATATCAGTTTTACTATTTAAAGTATAGCCAAAACAATCATAACGCATCAGCAACATAAAAGTACCCATAAATCTTCATTAAATAAAAAAATTCTGTTATTTTTTAATTTTAATTCTTATCTTGAAATAATAATATCTTTAATAAACTTATATTTTACCATATTAACGTTATTTTATATGTATTATTTATTTTATGAGTTTCAAATTAAAGATTTTACGACAAATAGGTTTTGTAATGTTTTATATTTCGTCTACTTTTTCTTTTTTTATGTAGACATGTACAAGTCAGTAATGAGGGTGCAATCGAATTTTACAGAAGATTCGGCTTTGAACCTATAGAAACGAAAACACAATATTATAAGCGGATAGAGCCTGCAGATGCTTTTGTCTTACAGAAAACCTTACGTGTTGTTTCTAAAAAGTAAAATCAATGTCTTTTTATAGTCTTTTTAAGTCATAAAATATTATTTTTTTTACTTTTTTTTTCATTCGCAGCGAAATGTGAAAGTATTTCATTTTTTAATGATTTTATTTCTATATGCTTTTTGTATATCCTGTAACGTATGCTGTAAATATAACGGTTTTTGTCAACCGTTAAATTTACATTTCTATATATGACTTCATTTATTTAATTCAATGACATTGCGGACTTAAATGCAATCTTTATTCACCTGTTCTAAACCTTGGTTTCGGGTATTATTTTGGGTAACGGGAATTGCAGTAATACTGCAGTTACCGTGGTATTTTCCGCGCAATTGGCAGAAAAGTTACCGCGGTAACAGTAAGAAGGGAAGCCTTAATACCGCGTAACGGTAACAGATGTTAAATGCAAAATTAAATATAACTACCATTATGAAGTTATTTCTGCATGGTTTGAGCAAAAAATAGATATGCGTAGAAATATTGAACCATGGACATTTATGATTTGAAAAAAATAGGTTAAAATAAATGTTATTATTCAGAACCTTTACTTATGTGAAATTTGTTTTATTGATGGAGTGGGGATAAAAAAATTCATACGGGATGTAGACGGACGGTTTCTGTCCCCAGAGTCACTCTAATTAGAAAGTTTGTTCTTTTAAAAAGATCTTAATCGTTTCATGCGAAATGGAGAGTAGGGTAAACTGGGGTAAAGTGAACTATTTTTTATATTTAGAAATTATCCCGTTTAAAAAACTTATTGTTTAGTAATTTAGTATTATTTTTGCCTAACAACGTTTTAAAAATTTTCCAAAAAAAATTAAATTTAAAATCTTTTGTTTTGATGCAGAAGTCATTTCAAAAAAAACGAGTTTTGCGGAATTTTTAAAATTACGTTATCAAACTTGGCGATAGGTTTCACTAAATTTAAAATTTGTTGTTGTTAATGCGAATATCATTTATATTATTTATATACATTTTGACAGAGTTGTTAGTCCTTGGCCTTAAAATAAAATACATATTTTCTTATTGATTTTGTTGAATTCTGCGCATAACCTTGGTCTATTTTTACAAAGTGTGATTTTATTGTCACAGCACTTGCTATATACAGTTTTTTTAATAATTGGCCTTAACGTAAGGCAAAAATTGAAGTGTTTGGTCTTGCAAATGTTTGCGTAGACTTTGACCTTGAAACTCTTGGCCTTGGTCTTGTAACGTGTGGCCTTGGCTTTGCTACTTTTGTAGTGCTGCTTCACAAAAATTGTAGTTACCATGATATAAGCTAAGTTTTAGTTTGTAAATTAATTTAGTTCACTTTACCTCTCGTTTTTCTGTCTAATGGGGGTAAAGTGAACTAGTACTTGTTCAGTTTACCCCCATTAGACAGAAAAAATCTATATTCTTTCTTCAAATACTTTTAGTAGAACTGTATATATACCAGGGGCGGATGCAGGATTTTTTGTGGGTGTTGCCTGTTTTTTTTCAAGTTGCCAAAATAGTTTGCAATATTTTTTTTGTAAGCCCCTTCCCCGGGCTAGCGAGGAGGAGGGGGGAAAGTTCAAAGCGGCATCAGTACTTTATTATTACTTACCGGGCATTGTTCTCAATTACCCATATAAAACAAAACTAACAACAATATTGCCTTGGCTATTCTGTTCATAAATTAGACATTTTTTACTTGTCTAACCTATTTAACGAAGTGCACCAACGAGAAGGTAAGCCATAGGACTTTGCACTCCATCTGTAAACTGTCATGTGGCCTAAGGTTAGCCCTCCATTTCTTGATTCTTTCCTTTTTCTGCCTTTTCTTGATAGGCAGTTAGTGTAACGTAATTGTATTGTTGCCTTAGGTTAGCCCTCCATTTCTGGATTCTTTCCTTTTTCTGCCTTTTCTTGATAGGCAGTTAGTGTAAAGTAATTGTATTGTTGCCTTAGGTTAGCCCTCCATTTCTGGATTCTTTCCTTTTTCTGCCTTTTCTTGATAGGCAGTTAGTGTAAAGTAATTGTATTGTTGCCTTAGGTTAGCTCTCCATTTCTGGATTCTTTCCTTTTTCTGCCTTTTCTTGATAGGCAGTTAGTGTAAAGTAATTGTATTGTTGCCTTAGGTTAGCCCTCCATTTCTGGATTCTTTCCTTTTCTTGATAGACAATTTGTGTAAAGTAATTGTATTGTTGCCTTAGGTTAGTCCTCCATTTCTGCATTCTTACCTCTTCTAGATAGGCAGTTAATGTAAATTATTAATATTATTACCTTAGGTTAGCCATCCTTTTCTGGATTCTTTCCTTTTCTTGAAAGGCAGTTTATGTAAAGTATTAATATTTTTGCCTTAGGTTAGCCCTCCATTTCTGGATTCTTTCCTTTTCTTGATAGGCAGTTAGGCCAATTTTTTTTTTTTAAAGTTTTTTTTTTTTATTTTTCATTTTTTATTAGGTAAAAACCAACTCTAAGCGTCGTTCCCCTAAAACAGAAAAAATATTCAAAACTCTTTCTACATCAGGAATTATTTCTTGATGAATAGACATCAGAGCTAAAGAATTAAATCTTGACTCTCATGCGGCTTCGCATATAAGTTTTCAGTCTGCGTATAACAGAAATGCTTCTCTCGCATTCACATGTAGTAATTGGAATTGTTCCTATTATTAAAAAACCTTCCCTAATGTTTGGGAAACCCCTCATATCAATAGATTTTAAAGTTTCTGTAATAGTGGATGGGATCACAGATTGATTGTTCCAAAAGGTTTCCCACAAATCTAATTCAGCATGAATTGATGTAGGATGAGGCATATCCGATATATAAAAATGCAAAAATTCCATAAAATCTAACTTCCAAAAACATTTTTCTTTATTTTTTTTTTACAACAATTGCAGGAATACCAGATAAACCTTAGTAAACAACCATATCACCTATATCAAATCTATCTTCTAATTCATTAACTAAATGATCTAGAAGAGGAGATGTGATGGAATATTTGAAATAATCTGAAACTGTGTCAGAGGGATAATTATCTCTATAAATTTTTCTGCCACAGAGCTTTGGTTTAACTTCTGAAACATCAAGAGTCTTAGCTAGATCAAGAGCAATTAAGTACCATTCGTTATGATAGACATCAATATTTTTTTTTAAATCTAAAATTTGAGTTTTTAAACAATTTATTTCATTACACTGTTGTGATATATCAAACGCTTTAGTTTGAAGAACAACAGTGATGGCATAGAAATAGTCCATTATTTGTTTGGTTAAAATTAAACTTACAATAAAAGAAAAATTAGTCATAAGATTTAAAAAACATGAAGCTTTTGAAGAAGTATCAATATTATAACTCTTACCTTCATTGTATGCCATTTCTTCCATTGAATGAAAAACAGATATGTAGTTATCAAAAAAAACATCCAGACCTTTAAGTTTCTAAACCCATCTAGTTCGACATGTATTGATTAATTTTGCTTGACCAGGAAAAATGAATTTATTAAGACAGCTGGCACGTTTAGGTGATAAGTTAAAAAAATATGATATATCTTTGATTTGATCAAGAACATTTCTAACACTCTGAACATTGCATGATTTACTTACAACTAAATTAAGTTTATGCATGCACAGCAAACAAAAATAGCCTTTGAATTGATAAATTTAATTCTTGATGAAATACCTTTTAATTTACCAGACATTGCCCCAGCACCATCATATCCTTGACCTCTACATTTTTGGATATCAAGACCATGATCATCAATTGCAGAAACTTGTTTTGCGCAAGACTAAGACCAGTTGTACCAGATTTACATTCAATGAACCGTAGAAAATCTTCACAAATAACGTTATCACAGTCAATGTATCTTATAACTAGAGATAGCTGTTCAACATTAGAACAATTGGAGGCTCCATCACACAAGATAGAAAAATAACCTGAATTTTTAATTTTATTAATTAGAACTTCTTCGATTGTTTTTCCACAGCATTCAATAAGTTTGTTTTGTGTGGTTTTAGATATATAGGTTGCATTTTTAGGAGCAGAACGAATATGGTGCTCAAGAACTTTATCACCTGCTTTAATGCGAAAATTTAAAAGCTCTACAAAGTTACCTATACCAATGTTGTTTTTACATGCTTCTCCGATCTCTAGATGATACTTAATGTCATCACGATGACCTCGAAAAGCAATATTATTGCGGCCAAGAAAAATAATTGTCTTTATAATTGGAATTAATTTATTTCGATTACTTATAATAAGTTTTTTTCTCTGATTATCGATGTCAACTTCATAATGAAGTTGATTATTGAGGTATTGTTTGGAATTCTGCTTCCCAACAGTGTACATGGAAGGCAGTATGCTCCATCTTCAATCTGTGAGTAAGCTAACCAGGAATATTCAAGTAGCCATTTATGTAAAAATGATCGTTTCTTTTTTTCACCAGAAACAGGAAAAACAAAAGACGAGTTAGGAATAAATATTTTATTAACTAGATCTAATAACATTGAATCATCTTTGCCAGCAGATATTTGTCTACCGCACTCATAGTAAGTAGAAACATCATAAAAAGGAAGGCTTAAAGACTGATCCGATGAACAAGGAATACAATTAAGTAAGATTGGATTAGGAGTAATATCAATATTTACATCTATAATTTTAGTTTCATTACTTATGCCAAACTTTATGTGAGATTGAACTAATGATTTTTTTTTTGAAAATAGATTTTTAGGAGGTTGACAAGATAAATTAGGAACCTTAGTGTTAACAGAAGAATGCGATAAAACACTTGGCAAAACTGAACACAATCCTCTTTTTAAATCACTTTTGACAAATTTCTTTGAGCATAAAACTTTTCAAAATGATTTGGTGACCACATATCTTTATCCTTGGAAATAGAGCGACAATCAGTGTTACACCATAAAATACTCAGAATTTCTTTATTTGTTTTATGATCACCATGTGGGTATATACATACATTAAATAACTTTTTATATTTTTCAAGTTCGAATTCAGGATAAATAGGCCGAATTTGTTTATTTAACACTGTAGATAATGCAATTAAACAAAGAAAAGAAGCAAATTTATTGTTT